AAAATTCTTAACATTTTATTGAATACATATTTGCATTTATTATTAATATGCCTATTTTATTTTTTGTACAAAATGTATAAAATGACATTCATTTTATTTTAATTCCTGCTCTCTGAATTCAGATGCTAAGTTTAATTTTTGAAAAAAAAAAAAAAAAAAAAAAAAAAAAAAAAAACATTAGGCGTTTTAAAACTGAATAAATATTCTTTTTATGTTTACAATATTTAGCAGCGTTGATTTTTCCTTTCATTTTGTGTAATATTGAAATATGTTGAAAGGCAAAATGTTATGCAAAAACAGTAGTTGAAAATAGAATATAACACGCCGTACGCATGACCTGTGCTTGTTAGTTTGATCTGTGCATTACCTGTGCTTGCTTGAGTACGCATTACATGTGCTTGATCACAATATCGTTTCACAATAGGTTTCAAACAAAGCATTGATTTTCAAAATGGACTTCCTTTTGGAATGGCAGCGTGTACATATACTCCTCTCTTTTCGACCTACACCAGAGCATATCTGTGATTGTCGACATACACAGTGAGGGTCCGAATGTACAAGAATGTACAGAAATATTCGATCTTTCACCAACGTATTTGGTGAATGTTGACATTCTCCGGTGGAAGTCGACATTCTCCAATTTCGGTCTTTCACGGTAACATATGTATATATATATATATATATATTATATATATATATATCGTACAAGGCCACATTTCATTTTAATTTTATTATTTGCAGTTTTAAACTTTTACCTTGCCTTATATAATTTTAGAACTAGAGCTCTTGATTTAATTAGAGTAATTAAAATTGTTTTAAACACATTTCACCCTCTGAGCATGTTTGAAGCAATCTTTATTTTTGTATTTTTTTAACATTTATTTTCTAAAGTGTTTTTTTATACTGTTTTAATTAGAAACACATCGAAGTAGAATATAAAATTAGCAAAACAACAACCTTGTGTTTGGCATCCTCAAGGTTGTTACTTTGATAGTTTTACGTTTCACTGTTTTAAATATTCGGAAACATTTTTCATGGTTTGAAAATAAACGGACTAACCTTTTATTAATTTTGCCACTTAAAATTAAGGAGTTTTTAATTAAATTTTTTGTTTGATTATTGATTAATTTGGCTGCTTTAGAGAAAATTATCCTTTACTTGGAATTACACATAAAAATTATCTTACTTTCTTGTAAGTGGATATAAATATGTATAATATATGTAATATTCTAGAATATACATGCCATGCATATACTTTGAAAGATATTTATAAACGCTATATTTCTTCTTCTTACTATTAGCTTCAGATTTTTAGATGCGACTAAAGCAAATAGCTATTAAATATGTTGCTACCTGTGAAAATTTCAAACTATGCTAACAAGTCCTTTGTTCTGAAATGACCTATATTGTACCTCTAATAAACTTTATGCAGTTTTAAAGTAAAAATTAAGTAGGATTACTTATGAGATATAGAACAGCCTTGCCGCGAATCATGATGTGTACAGATGACGGAAAAGGAACATTTTTGTTGAGCATGATTCTGCTGAAAAAATATGTCATCATTTAACGAGCATTTAAATCTAGAATAGTATTTCAAATGTACGATATTTTTAGTCCAAAGGGATTTGAATCCCGAAGGACTATTAGTTTCGTTTTGGCATTTTGCGTCGGACGGATAAATGTCGGTTCACTTTTCAAACTGTTGCCACAAAATGTTAGAGTCCTGCATTATATTTGAAGAAGTTAAATAATGAAAAATCTGCATAAATGTATGTATATTTCTCGTATTGTGATAAAACAACGGTACATAGAGTCATCGAATTTTGAATAACGTAATCCTCCAAACGAATATGAGCATGTGGAAGACCAAATTTGAAATTTGAAATTTGTTTTATGATCGATTTCCTATTTTTTAAAACTTTGACGAATTTTTGATTAACAAAACTCAAGGATTTCAAAGCGAGCAATGGCAACGTTGTGCAGAAAAAAACATTTTTATCTCCAGCGCGTGAGTCTCTGTATCGGAAATTCTAAAGATATGCTCGTTTTAAAACTATTTTGCGATATTGCTGTTGCACTGGGTCTTGGTTTAAGTGCGAGGAACATGATATTTAATAAAGAAAGGTAACACACAAAATGTTAAAAAACGCCCCTTTGGACGTAATTTAAAATCTGAAACATTTCAGATTTTTTTTAATTTATTTAAAAAACAGGTCAAATATAATTTTAGAACAGTGTAAGATTTTTTATAATATAGTAATCTTAGTTAAAAGTGATTATCGAAGTCAGCTGTCTTACTCTTTTGCTTTTGTGGAATTCCTAATCTCGCAGAAAAATTTTCCTTTTCGAAAGGGCCAGATGCGCCATTGCATGCAACTATTACGGCAGCTTTTTTCTATCGTTACGCACGTAAGAATATACTATCTACATTTTAGTATGTGCCTTTCTGAGTAACTCGACCTCAAAATAAACCACGATGATCGTGTTCTGCTTTGCAATTCAAGGCACACTTTTGAGGAATGTACTTTGTACTTTAGAACTCCCTTGCCCATTTATGCGAGGTTTGGGAATATATTTCCTTTTACTGCACATACTTGATATCTCTCTCTCTCCATCCTCGGATATTCTTGTTGAAGAAAAATACTCGAACTCACCAATCTAGCTTCTACCGCCACATTTCATATGCGAATAAGTAGTTCAGTTATTCACCATAAAAAATTCCTCCATTTTGCCCCTTTCACATGTATTTAAAGGCTAGAGGATGCACCTATCCTCATATTTGAGCTTCTTTCATGTATAAAGTTGTTTTTTTTTATTTTTCTCTTCCAAAAATGGAGATGCAGTCTTGTTTATCTCTACATACATAAAGAATCTTACATTTTGAGAAAAAAATTCGGTTTTTGATGTTTACTTTAGATCCTCTTAGGGTTGTTTTTATTTATGCTCAGCACTGTGGCCATGCTTATCGGTTTTACGCCGAAAATCTTTGAAGCTTTTACATTTCCCCCCTACTGAGTTGATAAAGCTGAAAGGTTCTGGAACGGATTCTGATTTCGAATGAAATGAATAAAATATTAAAAGTCTTTTGGTGACTTGGATGATTTATTTTTATTTTGTGAAAAACATGATTCTCTGGTGTTTGCATCTCTTCTCATCATAATATCAAAAGATGTCAAAAACAACTACAATCGTAATGTCCAATGTATTCCTTTGGTAGCGTATATGTTTGTCTACATTCTATTTTTGGACGATGTCGACAACCAAAATATTATAAGAGACGAATTTCAATGAAATAATAAATTTGTATTCATACGCTGTTTTTCGGTTAATTTGCCTTGTTTGTTCATTTCACCATATCAGTTCATTGTACCATATCCATTCATCTTATATATCGTTATGACTATCATATTCTGTATTCTGAATATTTGCTTGAAATGTTGTTTAATTCTTCTTTAGATAAGTAACACTGTTCTGTATGAGCATTTTCCCAGCCAAACTAATGTGTTATTTCGATAATCTATACCAATGTAATCCTTACATTAACCTGTCAATTGTCGTATCACGTAGCAAAATTTATAAAACATCAAAAACATTTTTGGTTTGATTGCAAAGTAGGTGTAATGACCTACGCGATATATAAGTTTTTATAGCATACCAGGATGCGACGTAACCAAGTCTACGTTTACTCTAACTTTAGAGAAATTGTGCACAATCTGGCAATACAGGTACAGGTAAGAAGCTAGGCCAGCACGTCCGTAGTACTACAGGTAATTGACGTATTGCTGAACCTAGCTCACTGTTAAGCTTCTGCTCCAATTTTGAGAAAGAACACCCTGGGGGCGGTCGGAGGTCTCCCACCTCTCTTTCCCTACGACAACCTCTCGAGAGTGCATTCGGCTCTCCGTGCATTTAAGTGTACCCATGCCGCAAGGATACTATACGCGTACAAACATCTATGCGTTCTCCTTGATTCGAACCCGGGCCCATCAGTACAGCAGTTGGTGTCACTAACCGCTATACGGACTGGGAGGCGTTGAGCAAAGCATAGCATTTCGACATATAAATAGAGGGAAGAGATTGTACATGAAATCTTAGGCAACTGAGGCATCCAAAAGTCAAAATATTTGTGTTTGTGCAGTTCTTTTACTTGTTATTTTTGGCTGAAAAATCGCCGCTACACAAAGCCAAAATAACAACTCGAAGAATTGCACAAACTCGGTAACCATGTACCGCTAGAAATCGCCAATTTTCGCCAAGGGGCATTCGTAAATTTATTTTTACCATTATAAGTCCATGACACATAGGTCAATGATACATAAGTCCATGGTAATCATCATACATAAATCCTAATTAAAAGTCCTCCAATAGCTTTGTATAGCAAGTTCTTATACGTTTTAGAGCTCAATCTAAGGTATTACCTTTTTCATTCTTTTATATTGCCTCTTCCATTCTATTATATTTCGTCTTTTAAATGAAGAATAGTGTACCGAGCATTAGTTTATAATTTCACTTAGTTTCCTTTTAATTTTGTCCCTTCGAATGAGTTTGCCGGATGATTCCTGAAATCGCAAAAGAAAGTTTTATTTGAGAATCTGAAGCGGGTGGAATGTGGTATTCCACAATGCATTAAGACTGAGACACTTACTGAATATCGACTGGCTTGTCATTAAATATTGAAGGTTACATCTGAATTTGGAACAAGAATTCAAACAACCATAAAAAATCACTTTTGATGTTGATTTGCGTTTTTTACATCGGACTTTCAGTACTATGGGTTTCTCTTTTAACAATGAGAATTCTTCTTAAATCTAAAAACGTTAAGTGTTTCCATTATTTTAGTAGTGATTTTTCTAGATGGAAAAGTATCAGCAGTTTCAAAATTTTAAAACATTCTGTATTATAGGGTCTCCTTTTTCATAGCTAGCATTTATTTAATACTATACATTTACATTATTTTCTAGCCAAATTTATCTTAATATAACAATTTCTTCAATATTTAGGTGAGAAATCTTGGTGAAGGAGGAGATACATGCTTAGATAGTCCAGCTAGAAGAGACGATCTCCACAAACCAGTAGGTTTATGGCCTTGTCACGGTCAAGGCGGTAATCAGGTAAGTAAAAAATCTAGCTATTAAATAATTATTTATCATATATTTTAATTTATTATTCCCTTAACCATCCTTGAGCGCATATCTAATACAATACATAAGTCTTGTGAAAGACTTGAAAGCTCGTTTCCTGTTTGAAGTAATTTAACCTAAAATTAGATAATTTAATGTAATAAATATAAAATCTTCCAACTACATAGATAATAATATAAAGTTTCAATGAACTAAATTATAACTCTCAGTGAAGTTGGTAGGTCAATTATCTATGTAAGTAAGAGATGCAGGACATATAGGCAGAAAATTTCAAAGCTAAGACAGAGTTATATAATTGAATATGTATATTATAGTAATAGAAACAATAATTATAATAACAATATTTCGATAATCTAGCTTTTATTTGTAGATCTCGGAGTTACTAGACGCAGCAGCGACTCAAAAAGAGGTCTTTAGAAAAGAATTTGTTCATACATTAAAATGGTGACTCTGCAATGGCTTAAGTACCAAAATACCGGTAGTTCTCCAGGGGGGTGGGTAATATATTTCCGGTAATTTAGTGGGCATGCTACCTTTGGTTACTGTTTTTAATTCGTATATAAATTAGCTATTTTCTAGTTTTTCCTACTGATTGCCTCACTAAGACTCTTCTTTTAAAGCAGATAGCCTTAGTACTTTACAGTTTTACAATCCAATAAAACTAAAATTGCTTTAAGAGTACTAGCTTGATTATTTTTTTAATTTAGAAAGGTTTTAAAATCTAATTTGTGCCTGACGATCAACTAATTATCTTTGAAAAAATTCAATGAAAGGTACAACATGAAACTTATACAGCTAGAAACATTTTGACAATCATTAATATTTCTTGAGAAAGTATTTCTTAAATAAAGTACTCAAAGCTTAATCTGTAATTAAGTACTCATTTCAATGATATTTTCCGTAAAAGTTATACAATTTTCCTAGTAATCCAAGTTTGGTAGAACTGCACACGACTGAAAAAGAATGCATTGCCTAAGGAAATACAACATATCAATAACCTGGCCGACAAGACCTATCTTGAAGATCAATAACCTGGCCGACATCAATAACCTGGCCTGCAAGAGTGCAGGTTGAGGATAAAACTGGTACAACCCACATGGATTTACATATATCATACATTTCTGGAGAGTCCTTGTCAGTTGTACCCCAAAACAATTTCGAGAAGCGTCGTGGAAGTGAATTTACGATCTCAGTACATCTTGCATATGCTTCGGTTTAATGCTGAAATAATGGCGTCCCCATTTTCAGTACTACACCAAACTGAGAGTCTTCATCTGGCGCTGTACAGTGTTCAGAGATAAATGCCGTTTCATTTTGAAACCTGATGGTCATCTTGCAAAATCTTTTTGTTCAAATGTACAATCAAATCCTCATTGTTTACAATAGTTCGAGATTAACAATACATTTCCGTCTCGCCACTGCAGACATTACGATTTAGGAAGCTGAAGCCTAAGAGGGCTAATTTGCCATAGAATTCGCACGTAGAATAAAAGGCTCTGCAGGTTTTTCCGACGAGATCCTACGGTTTACTTCCTAACCGGAGTTCCAGGTGCATAGCAGGATTCAGGTGCTTAATGAGGATTCTAAGTGCAGTATATTTCAACAGCAAAATACCCCGGAGCACACGAAACTAGTGTCACGATTAGACATTTCCAGGTGCATAAAATGGTCTATCATCTTCCTAGATACGTCCGTTATCGAACATGTTTTAAAACATATGAAGCAGCAGCTGCCATCGTGCTACAATATGCAAGATTCAGCATATCATCAGGTGTATGTTCAACTCATGCTGTATCGAATTTCATTGGAGCGTTAAGCTGTTGAGAGGGACAGTACTTTCTCTCATATCTTTCTCAAAAACTGCTTTACTGATCTTTTTTGGTATCATGCGTGTCATCGTCTCTATTATTAAATCAACAAACTTTCGGTTAATCCAATGCTTCATTCTTTTTGCGCTAATTCCATTGCCTTTGTGTATAATACCACTCTTTTTAAAACAGTAGTTTTCAACTTTTGTCCTATTTACCCTTTCACTATTGCTGGAATATCATTATCCCAGCCTTTCCAAAACTCGAAAAATATATATGCAATTATTTAGATTAAGATTATATTTTTACGTGTTTTAGAAATTAAGTTGTACTAAGCATTGAAAATGTTGATAAATTCCAAAGTTTGAATAAAAGTAGTTCTTTTATATAAGCTGAAACTAAATACTTGACAAGTAAATAAATGGATGACCGCATCTGCCTGAAACTTTGAAATTCCTCCCTTTATTAAGAATGCCTTTTTTTAAACTTTCTCCATGTATCTTTCTAGAACTTCAATTTCATATAGGCTCATTTCAAAAGAGTTTCCATTCATAATGATTCCTGCTTCCTTCGTGCATTTGTTGAGCATTACTAACAAAGAATTCGAGATGAATAATTTGTTATTCTTCAAAGAATGAATGAAAGGATTCTTTTGTAAGCACCTAATTCAGTGGGATAATTTAATATTAATTGAATGCTTAACGTTTAATTGTAATGTACTTCATTCAAGTTTCTAGGATTCCCATTTAGCCTCAGTATCGGATATACCAAACGCTTCCCTATTTAATCTAGCACAAATCGGAAGAAGTATAATGTAGAGGTATAGGCACTTGAATAGATTGATAAGAGAACCTCACCCTCTAGAAGACAAAGAATTTCTTTCCTTTCCTTAAAGTCCAAGATGTCCTCTTGACTGCAAGCTCGAGGATCTCTATTGAACCTCTTGTTTCAGCTTAGGATGAAGAAGTGCACTACATCAGAATTTGCTATTGATTTTCTGATGTGATCCCGCAAAGATAATCTTTTTTTGAACCTTCTATTTTTCCAGATGATTTTTTTGAACCTTCTATTTTCATTTGAAATAATATAAATTACCTATTAAAACGTATGGTGTAAAATTTGAAACACATTGAAGATTTGTGTTATTGAGATGTATAATTATAGAAATGTTTTTATTTTGCTTGCATTATGCACATTGAAAACAATAATCTTTATCATAAGAGAACAGATTTGTTTACTGTTTATTTTGTTGTAGTTATTTTAATTTTGATCCTTATGATACAATGAATTCAACTGGTAGATTGAATTTCTCATGTTTTCGAATTACAACAAACACAAGGAATTAAGCTCTACTGGGGTTTCGATTCCGAGCGTAAGATGAACGCCCTAGGGAAATAGTTCATACTAATTTGTTGAAGAGAAATAAGAAATTTGGAAAAAATATATCGAGTTAATATTTGATTTTGTTCTATTCTCTTTTTATTATGTTATTATCTTATTATTATAAATGAACTCGATCTAAAACTGCTAAATTGCTAAATTAGTATTAGTCATATAATATGAAAAGAGAAAATAGTCGATTCATCATTATATAGTCATCTGTGTAGCTTACATTTTTAATTACTTAATTCTTCTATTTATACATGTAAATATTTTAATTATTTCATTTATTTAATACCCTAATTACGCGTATTTTACGAATAAAAAACAACGCTGGAAATATTTATTTATTATTTTTAACAGATGTAAAAGCAGTCGTTATTCAAGGGAGTTTTTAATTGACTTTTATTCACTGCCACTGCTGATGAAAAGGAAAATACAATAGAGTTACGACTGATATTGTTAAATAAAGAAACATTTATCCTGTTACATCATTTTTCAGTTCAAACTCCCTGAACTCTTGGCCTTAAGTCTGGGCTTCTGTAGTCCTTAACAGATACCTTTCTTTGCAAAAATCTTGATTTGAATACAATAGTATTCAAAATGATTCAAAGAATTCAGAGTAATTGGCATTATACCGTAAAAGTTGCCATAGTTTGCACATTTCAGAATTCAGCATTGTTTAATATTATAATGCAAATTTCTAAAATTTATTCTTTCGAAACCTTGTTTAAGATCACAGCATAAGTAGTATGTTATTTGAAAAATGTCAAGATTTAAAGTGTCTTAATGTCTCTCCTTGGAACTTAAATCTCACATAAACTCGTTTCAAAAAACGTTTCTATCTACGCCTCTAGATAATCATTTTCTATGTATAAAAACTGAACATTGTTGGCTGGGATTACATTTTTCATTTGGTATCGCTTGGAAGATATTTGAATACCTGATGTCATTTTTACTTCCTTGTACAAAGTACAAAGGAAGTACTGTAATAGCGAGAAGTTTCAGGCAGCATATTTCAACGAAAATATCCATTTTGACCGCTATCGAATGCAATTTAACGATGTTTATGCGTGATATCTGTACGTAAGGATAGAATAAAAGACTCCGTATGTATTCTTCGTAACTCAAAAACGAGTAGTCTCAGCACGTTGAAATTTTGTATATAGGACTGCAATAACATGTAGATGTGCACCTCGTATTTTGGTTGCAATCGGCCGCACCAAACGTATATAAATATATTTATATATATATATCCACTCTGTTACATCCGGCTCAGTGATCTCAGTTTCTTTACTCTTATATATTTGTAAATTGTACATTTTTTGCTTTAAAATGATTGAATTATGTTGTTTTTATCTTCCGGTTAAGGTTTTTATGCCTTTAGTAAATCTGTATGCAATATGTTTAGAATTATCAACATTTTTAAAGTTGTTTAAGTGCCGCTAAGCCTTTTTTATGGCGGCCATTTATTGTTTACATTTGAAACAGCAGACTAGTGGATTTGTTGCCAATCTAGAGAAACTTAGCTTCGCAACAACAGAAATAACGCCTTCATTTATTATTGCCAATTAAATCATGCTTAATCCTTTCTGGAAATTTTTCGAGGAAATAAGTGTTTAAGATTTACTTCGTAATTTTTAATACAGATATTTTGAGTTTGTGTATTTTTGCCTTTTCGCGAAATGAGAACTGAATTAATTGAATGAGAAATACTCAATCGTCTGTGAAAAACTGTTCCTTTTTTGGTTTGTTTCCTTAATTTCTTTTATACATCGTTCTAGCTTTATTATAGTATTTGAATAGAACATGTGGCAACGATTAGATAATTCTATTCCTTAAATGATATAAATTTTGTGCATTATGAGTTATAATATGAACGAAATATAATACTGTTAAGTGAATCTAGCGCCAGAGTTTCGCTGTGGTAAACAAATACTAGAGTGTATTTTAAGGAATGCATTTATTCTATTATAGTTTATGCGCTGTCGGCGAAATAGATTTAATTAAATCCAATAAGTTTAAATGAAATGCAAGAAAAAATGCGTATAATTTAATATTCCGTACAAGGAAGTCATGTGGTGTACACATCAGATTTTTTTGGATGTAATGAGATTCGTGGATATTCAGACAGAAATAATGAATATATTGCCCACGTTTTTTAGAATAAATTATAGGAATAAACTAGATTTAATTAAGGTATTTTCTCGTACAGGTAAAATTTATTTATCTTATTCAATGTAATCTTTTGCAGTAGATAATATACTACTAAATGGACTATAGCACTGCAGGTAAAAAGTACCATATCTGGTACGAAATTAACTGAAGTATACCGCAAGGATGAGGTATCTATGCGCAATTAACTGAAGTAATCCTGGGCTTGATGTCTACGGTTAATGTAAAATTATGGTGCAACTAAATAACACACAAAAGAGAAATAACCAGTAGTACAATTCAAAAGTAAAAATGCTATTCTGAATTCACCTGTATTTTATAGGAGTTTAATATGGAGAATAATTTCACTTCGTTACGTAAATTAAATCAGTATTTAAAAGAAAAAGAACACGCTGCAAATAACGGGAGAATAAATCTGATTAGAAATGAAGAAATTAGCAGGGTATTAAATAACAAATTAACATGAGAATTTGAATGATATCATTTAGTTCACATTCGCATGAAATATAGTCTGTTCATATTATCGCTTTTTCCTACCAAGAAATCAAGAAGACCACAATAAAACAGGATTATTTGAAACTTTATCTCCGATCAAAAGATTTTTCTGACAAAAAATACTTGTCAGGGTGAACTAATTTAAAGGAGAAACTAATATGCATAGGTGAAATGGGTTTTACAAAGGTTTGAAGGAATAGCAAGCTAAAGCAGAATAGCTATTCACCAGATATGTATGTGATGCTAGAGCAAGGGTGAAAGTGGTAAAACAAAAAGAAAAGCATGTGTCAACGATGAACCTGCTGGTTTGTTTTTGCTTACATTATTTTCGTATTTCAGAAGGAATCGACGTGTAATATAAAATTAATAGCTATAGAATTGATTTATTTTGGCGATTAAGCAGTTTACTTTTATGTTTCATAGATTAGTTAATGGAGGCTGATGTTTTTTATGTTCCGAATTACGAACAGCTCATTCCCAAATTCTATCCGTTATCACTGTTGTTATTCCACGCGTTCTTCAATTCCTTTTTACATTTTTCGTAAACAGTTTTCTCTACTTAAATTGTGCATGATAATAATTTTTCCATAGTTCCGCGATAAAGTACTAATTTTTAGATCCGGCTCAATCAAGCCCTACACGGTCAGTCAACCGCCCGTTTAGTCAGAAGTCTGTGGTACTTCGCTTGACATCTTGCTGATCATGTAGCATAAGTCATGATCTAAATTTGTAAAGACTGGATTACTCTTTAATTACTGTATCATTAATAAAATTCCCAATGCTAAACAGCTATTTAAATTAACAATTCATCAATGCTCTAGCTGATTAGTATTAGGGAAGTATAAAATCCTTCTATAACATTCAGAAATCATAAGACCAACTCCAAGTTGTTCCAGAGAATAATATTTTTATGCCATTTGATTAAACAAGCAACTATATTGATGTACTTCAGAAATAATTTTGCGATTGAAATGTTTATACCATTTTTATCATTCGATGCTGCCTGAGATCAAACATGAGTTTATTTTTCTCCCACGTTTTACCTTCAAGTTTCATTATAAATATATTTTATTGGCTGCCGCTTTCTTATTGACTAATTCAATTTTGGGGATCAGCTCAGTTACTTAATATCTGTCACATCTAATTTGCAGACTGTCACTTGCCGTAATATAGCAAAAATATGTGTTTCACGTATATGTACAATTTCGTGATTAATCTGGTTGCCATATTTATTTTATGTTCAAAATTATATTTTTATTTGTTGACTGTCATTTTTCTTTATCATTCTTTGCTTGATTCAATGACATTTTCAACATCGCAGTTTCCTGCACTGAATAAATTTCAAAACCCAACTGCTTAAGCTAACAGTCTTTCATATTAACAACTGCGTTGCTACTTCTTGGTGATGATGAGTGAAGTTTAATTATAGTCAATTCCCAGTAACGATGGTAACAATAGAAACGGCTTGCACGGTTTACTTGATATCATGTATTATTCTAATGTAATGTAAAATAAACAAATAAGAAGAGTAACCTTTTTATAATTAACAAAAATACCTTATTCTCCTACCTATGAAATTTGCAACACAATAAAGGAATCAGACGAATAAACTGAAACTTACAGAAAATGCAAATTTAGTCATGATATACAAATGGTTAGAATTTCAGGATGATGGATGGCAAATGCGTGGGCTGAAGAACTCTTCCTATAAATGAGGTATAATTGGTGTGCCATAGCAGAATGTTGAAAGAAGTGTTCTGTTATCTGCAAACGGTAAACGTTTTGTGAAAAGCTACTACATTTTGTTCTAACAGGAGTGAATGATTGGCTTATAAACAAGAAGTTTTTTTTTTTTTTTGTTGTTGTTAAATCCCAGCTCGTATGAAGTAAAATGCCTTATCAGTGAAGCATGCGTGAAAGCAGGGAGCTCAAGAATATTGGATAGGTCGTGTAGCCCAACGATGGAACACTGCTACAGGTGTGCCATTGTTAGCTTCAACATTCTGTGCACCGTACACTGCGTATATGTATTTCTTGCGAGAATTATCCTGCCCCAAAACCACCAACCCCTGTGGCTACGGTGGAATTATTAGTGCAGTCACTTGACGTGCTGATTGGCAACTAATTATCTCTTCGAATGCATCCTGCTTGTATTTGGAGTACAACGACGGTTGAATATATGTTAGACACTATAGGATGAACGGCATCTTTCGGAATGCAGCGTTCAGCGTCATACTGGAACGATCGTCAAGCGTGACAATCTGGGACGCCATTGGATATGATAAAGATCTCGTCTGCTAAGAACTGAAGGTACACTTACCAGCAAACGCTACATCAGGAAAGTTATGAAGCCGAAAGTGTTAATCTTCATGCCACGCATTCCCAAAAGTCCGTTTCAACAGAACAACGTCCGTTCACTTACAACGTCCGTTCACATACCGCTAAACTGTTTAATAGTTCTTAACTTGTCAGATACCACTATTGCATGTCCATTCACCAGATATGTCACTTAGAATATGTCTGAGATTTCGTGCAGAGGTAAATCGCTCGTGACATTCGTCCCACAGCCAAATCGAATCAACTGTGGGATCGGATAGAAGCAATAGGTAATGCTACTCCTCAGGTACTCATTCAAAACTTGAATTCAGTACCGCGATAAACAGAAGCTGTTATTGCACTACATGGGGATTAATGAAATACTGATTATCAAGATTTAATACTCTTTTATTACTTTGAACATTTAACCGTTTCTTTGTATCCCTTCACGCTGCATGCGGAGTAAAATTTTATTCAATTTTCATGATCCTTTCATGAGATTGTAATTTTTACAAATAAGAGCAGTATTTTGAGGCAGTTTAATCTGGAGAATGAGCTAATTAAGCACGTGTTTAGGAAACAATAATGGAATAATAAACATGAAAAGAAATGACGAAATTAAATAATAAATGGTATTAAAGAACAATAAGAGAACTTCACCAATAGCATTTGAATCGAACTCATCGAGGGGGGGGCAGAATATTTTTGTTGGAACGTTTTGGTTTTGAGTAGAATTTTTTTTTCTTTTCCTTTATTAAGAGAGATGATTTTATGTTGCGGGTGATTTGAGAATGCTTATACATCCCGGATTATGAACAGTTACGTCGCATACTATTGTGAATATAAACAAGCTGTAAATACTATAACCCATAAGTTATCACTGCTGTTATACCAAGCATTTGTCTTTTCCTTTTTGTAATTCTATAGGGTATTGTTTTAGACTTTCGATTTTAAATAGTAATTTTTCAATCAGTCCGCAGTGAACATATTTAACTTAAACTGTTTTAGATATAACCACATTTGTTCCTCAAATCTGTTTATCCGTTGTCGGGTAATCGGGGTTTGACTGTATCACTTTGTTCACAGAAAATTTCAGAGAAAATCTTTCAAATATAAATATTGAATGCGAAAAGAATATATTTGCTTTCGTACGTTTTGCCATTGTATTTTTTCTCTAAATATGTTTTTCTCCTGAAAAGTTATATGTTAATATGTTCTTTCTTTGCAGTATTGGATGCTGAGTAAAGAAGGTGAAATCCGGCGAGACGAATCCTGTCTGGATTACGCCGGGAAAGACGTTATTTTATACCCCTGCCACGGATCCAAAGGCAACCAGCTGTGGTTTTACGATGCCAACGTTAGTATATTAAGTCTTTATAGCTTTTTTTTTCCAGTTCAAACAAAGTCCAGCGCGTTGTTATAACTTCGCGATTTATGCGGTAATAAATATTGCGCTGTACCCGAACTATAAAATGCTGTGGTTTTTTTTATACTTGTAAAATATTTGACTAGTAAAATGAAGGGTTGGTTTGCATTTCAATTAGAGTGGTGCGAGTAAGTTGTAAAGCCGCCTAATGGGTGCTTATACTAGAGTTTCTAAAAAGCGTTTTAACTCTTCATTACCTAAACTGAAAATAACTGTATCACTATAAACTAAACGATGTGTGTACGGAACTAAAATTGGTGTATTAAATAGTAGAGGATCTTTCTCTTTTTCAAGTCTTTCGTTCAATATTTAACTTTATTGTTTATCTTAAGATATACATTTATAATCTGCAGATTTTATGTTCAAAAGACAGAACAGCTAATTACTGTGTTTTCATTAATTGTTTTTCGTTCGTCTGCAATAATTTCTTAACAGTCGCTTGGACTTACTTGGAGTAAAGCAGTACCACTCGGATGTTCCTGATGAACAAAAGATTCTTTCGTTCTCTAAATAACTGGTGGCAAATTTAGCTATAGCTTTAATTTTAATGTATAGTTCAGCAAAAGAACTATATCTATAAAATAAAAGCTGCAGTTTCCCTTATTAGTGAAATTCATAACTTAGATAACATCTCAAAAACTATGATAAATGAGAGAAAACAATCAATTAGAAAGTTTTAAGAACCTCGTCTAAAACCATATTGCGTATGAAGATATGACAATCTCTGCCTAAAACAAGTCATTTTTTCAAGTCAGATTTTCGAGATTAGGATTAGGTTTTGAAGATGCTAACAAAATTAGGTGTTTTAGGCGCATATCAGTTAATTTTGAATGATATTTTGATTTTATTATGTTCAAATTAGAAAATAGTTGTTTCCAAACATATGTTGATCCAAACCTACAACAATACCTCATAGCCAAGTAGTGTAAATTTGGAAAAGTGCTTGTTGGCACAAATTTCCAAAATTCAATAGAATTCGGATCTCTTGCAGTTGAAATAAGTTCCTGATATTTGCTTTTCAGTGTAGTATGCTTCTGAGGTCAATAATTTCGATATGGATTTCAGATGGATAACAATTAACTTCTTACAGAGAAACTGAATTATTATATTTAATCTAATGTGCTTATGTGTGTATCTATCGACGGAGTTGATACAGGAGACAGATGAGAGTGGGGTCCGGACACCCGGGCGGTTTCACTGACTATTTGGGTATTGTCCGGATCCCGCATTTGTCCAGAAGAACATTGTTGAACAGGGGCTGATGGTGGAAGACAGACGTATTGCGGATTCTTACAATATCAATGCTTATTATATATATGGTAATATAAAGATATCTTACATCGAAAAGTGGTGTTACCCCTAGTAATTGTACGTTTTACATTTTTAAGCACGTTGGACATTTAAAACATAGCATTAAACATTCAACAGCAAAAACGTGGTGCTATATTGAATTAAGACTCTAGTAATACATCGTTATACATTAATAGTGCACTCGATGTATTAATACATGCAATAATAAAAGTTCCTAAAATCTACAGACATATTGCACAGCAGTACAAGTGCACATTATTTGACTTATGACTCAAAAGCACGTTACATCGAAAAGTGGTGCTTATTAATTATACATATAACGTATTAAGTAAACATACCTTATGCATGCTTGTTAACTATACATATTACGATTATTATTACGAAAATTGACCTACACTCGAATTTTAGTCCATCTCCTTAGTCCATCTCCAAGCGGTGGGTACATTTTTATTCTTGGTACGTTTGGTTATAGCAAGTGTGTCAAACGTTTTTGGCTGAGGGTCAAAATCAGCAAAATGTGCTCACTAAGAAGCCGTTTCAGTTCAATGGTAATTTAATATTAAAATAGTCTTTCTTGGTGATTAACAAGGTAAATTTAGTTGCTAAAATAATTCCAATACGCTTTAAAATTTAAATCTAAAAATGATAATTAGTTTAAAATCAAATATAACTGAATAAACTTTATTTTTCTCTTTGATATCAATGGCTTCCTTGATGCTGAACTCGTGACGTCAATTTAATTAAGTCTGGTCTTATAGTTAACCATTTTGAGACAAATACAAGCATCGAAATTTTTGATAGTTAAGCTGCTCATGTTTTTACTTAAAATACATTTCGTGTGTGAAAATATTTGCTCTGATTTGTAAGTTGAACTGAATGCGGACAAAATGGCGAAACCAATGTTTTGGGTTATGGATCACGCATCGGAGTTGCCAGATTTATAAATTTCTGCTTTAAATTATGTTATAATATTTTTAAATGCATATTCGTTACAACAACTATGTACACAAACAAAAATGTTATTGATGCTATTTATTTACGGTTTATTTTTAATGTATCCTTCAAGTGTTTGTTTTATATTTATGTTTTATAATTCATTTTTAAGAGTTGTACTTTATTTTCGGAACTTTCGGAGTCACTTGAAATTATAAAATGGGTCACTCGGTGACCCACGAGCCATTGTTTGCCGAGGCCTTGGTTAGAGTATCCTTTTTCTGCTTCCATATGAGCATTACTGTGTTTATCCACAACAGTATCTGTGTGACTTAGGTACAAATACACTGTCTAGAAGTACACACTGTACAAACATTCTGTCAGTTATTGCTTTTTTACGACTAACCCATACTGATAAAAAATTTCGATAAGTTTGTTTAACTGCTCATTTAGAAAACAGAATGAAGGAAACTTTGCACTTCAGTTTGTGTCGTAACTGCACTGGCTGAGTGACTGCTACTAGGGCCTAATGAGTAGGAACACGTAAGAAGGAGATAAGATTTCAAACAACATGCGAATAACCAGCGCGCCGCTGGATAGCAAATGGCATCTAAATGATGAATGGCGAACGGCAAATGACGAAAATTATCTTTCAATACTTATCTTTCACCTGTTTTCATTAAAAAGTTTCAAAAACTATATTTGGCATTTGATTGCTAATACTGATGAATTTCGCCTTTATTCTCTTCTGTTTTGTAAATGCGAAAATTACGCCTCTCTATTCAAACGATCGAATTCTTTCAATAAAGAAATAGATATATATTTAAGAATCTTAATGAATATTTAAGAATCCTCATCAGATCAATGATTTTATTACAGGAAATTGAATTAAGAATTTAACTCAAATATATTTTGAGTTAGAAAATCATTCTTAACAGAATAGTTGTATTTTAAAATATTTAGCATTGTTATATCTATTCCTTTATCAAAACTTCATTGAAAATTTCTGAAATAAAGCAAACATTATAATAGATGGAGCATTAAAATTATTTGTACAATATAGGACAGTTTAAGAGAGTTAATATTTGCTCATTTTAAACTCAAATTTGGTAAACAAAGTTTTATCATAAGCTCATGGAATAGAGCTCAGTAGCGAGCTGAAATAATTAATTTAATCGGATTTTATATAGCGCCCAAAAGGGCGTTTTTTTAACATTTTCTGTGTTACCTTTATTTATTAAATATCATGTACTTCACTCATAAACCATAAACTTCCATTCAACAGCAATATCACAAAATATTTGAAAGGGCATACCTTTAGAATTTTGATACACATTAACGCGCGCTGGAGATAAAAATGTTTTTTTTTTCCGTACAATGTTGCCATTGTTCGCTTTGAAATCGTTGAGTTTCTTAATCAAAAATTCATAAATGCTTTACGAAATATGAAATAGATAATAAAACAAATTCAAAATTTGGGCTTCCAGATGCCCATATGCGAGTGGAAACGTACGTTATTCAAAATTTGATGGCTCTACGTACCGTTGTTTTATCACAATGCGATAAACATGCATACCTTTATGCAGTTTCTTCATTATTTAATTTCTTTAAATATATAAATACAGGGCTCTGATGTTTGGTTGCAACAATTTAAAAAGCAATTCGCCTTTTATAGTGACTCATTGCAAAATGCCAAAACGAAATTAATAGCCCTTCCGGGTAAATTGCCCGTTTAGGTTAATAATTACTAAACCCGCCCCTTATTATCTGTACCAAAACTTTCCAATTCTTTTGGAAAAGAAATGTTTGAAGGAAGGCAAATGTTTGTTGGACATGTTTTGGAAGGCAAATGTTTGTTGCTTCTAATGAAAGTAAATTAGAGAAGTTCATTTCGTTTTGCTTAAGACGTATATTTTGTTTATGAAGCCCGGAATTCTGTTCAGTTTTAAAATATTATACGTTAAAATTTCAACAGCTCATCATGTATTTATTATACGTTACACTGACTAAATATTGTGTCCATAAAAGTCTTATACGGCCTTGAAATTTCCAACCATTGGTGAGAGACATATACTTCCATGTTACAAAAATATTTTAAATAACACAAGCATAAATATTTTTTATATTATATATGTTAAGATCATATTTGGTGCCAGTATACAAACTATAGAACGAAAGGTTGGTACTTGCATATAACTAGAAATGAAACACCGCTTTAGAAAAGTATTGATTAATAATTGTGTTTTCATTAGAAGATGTTATTCTAGAATCTTATGGCATTCGGGTTCTAGAAAAGAGAGACAGACTTCAATATTCGCACGCAACCAACTCATAACTTTATTTGCATAAATTAAAAAATCAAAAATACATCTAGTTTAAGTAATTTTCGTATGATTATTAGATTATGATTCTAAAGGCGTAAAACCTTTGAAACCTTATGAGAATATCAGTAACGTACTTTTAACGTTTAAATACTTATAACAAATTACTTAGGAGAAAAGGCTTTCGAATTTCCAAATGTGCAAAACTTATAAGTTAAAGAATGTTACGCATTAATAAATCACAAAAGAATGTTATGACATTTAAAGGGGAAAAAAATCAACCTCGAATAATTCTAATGTATTAATTCAGTGACCTCTCCAGTTAAAGAAAGTTAAAGCGACGTCAAATTCTCCAAAATATGAAATTAAATTTATCGATAAATTTTCGTCGCATTGAAGTTAACTTGCTGGTGTTTAATGTTTTATAATGAATATAAAAGTTTTCTAATTCTAACTATAGGAAAACTGACTGACCGTATAAAATGTTAGATGTCGTAACTTTTACATTTTTTTTTAAATTTGAAAATGACAAAATATGAATATCTGCGTCATTTGAAATATTTTAAAGGATTTTAAGTAGTGTAAGTATATATCTGCAAAAAAATCGTTTGCGAAAAGGAAGGCGCGTAAGGTAATTTGTGGACACATTTTATAGTTGATTTGTCTAGAAAAGTGTTTAATAATTAATGTTAATGTTATTACAGACACATACTATTCAGCATGGCAGCAGTCGGAAGTGCCTGGAGATTTCTACCGACAAGCAGCGCCTGCAGATGTCTGAATGCAACGGCAGTGAAAGGCAGAAATGGAGCTTTCAGAATTATGATCCCTCCAAACTGGCTCCCGCAGCTTCTCGTTTATAGTCAGATATCGATTATTCATCCATCATCATCGTCATCCTATTCATTGTCACTTTGCTGGATCTGCATCCTTCTGTTCCAAGATGGACTGACTGCCAAAGACTTCTACAGTGGATATAAATTGTTCCTGATGACGAAGGCTGCTTTTGAAACAGACAAGGCAAATTGATCGGATACACATACTTGCCCAATCAGCATTGCCTTTTACAATGCCCCCACTAGTCTGCCAAATATTAAGCAGAAACTACCGACTGTAGAATGAAAATTTATTGACAGTTTATTCCACATTCCCGTGCAAAACATTTTTAATTAGAGACTAATCTTCCACAAAATTAGAAAAAAAAAACACATAGTCCAGGGATTGTGTATTATAATGAAATGTTCTTACAAAACAGGGACCGTTGCGTAATGTTTCCGTTCTTTATTGTGTTTGAAAATGTTTATTCTAATACAGGAAAGTGCCTTAAGAAGATTCCTGTATTCAAGACAAAGGAATCGGAACTGACGAATTATAAAGAATAAAGAATACTGGAGTTATATACTTATAACATTCCATTATGTATCTAACTGCATTAATGACTAAATGAGAGCACTTTTATTACGAAGAGCACTAAACTGTTTATGTATGAAGTATGAAATTCTGATTCATGAATAGAAGAGGTTGTGGGTTACTTCTAAAATCTTCATTATTTTTGTACGAAACTGACTGTGATTTGGGTGTTTATATTTTGATAGAAGCTGTGAAAGCAGATTTTGAGTAATAGAATTCAAGGATTCTTATAGTTGTTTGATTTTTTTTTTTTTTTTTTTTTTGTAGCGTTCTGGCTCTGAGACGATAGCAGTCGTAGAATGGGAACTTTATGAAATTAAAAATTTTTTAAAGCTTAAACATATTTTCTAATCAATAATTCACCAAATGTTATTCCTAAGCACTTTTGTCTCAAGTATTGAGGTCTCAGAAAATAAAAAATGTATGGTTATTTAAATTATATACAATTTAAAATGAAGAATATTATATACAATTAATATATATAAAATATTATATACAATTAAAAAATGAAGTTTATTAATTTTAAATGAAACATTCTATACATGTAATTTTCGATAGAGAGGAAAAGTAAAGAATTCATTCATAGATTTAATTTGTATCTAAATTAAATACAGAGATTATTAGTTTTGTTATTACTTAATTACGGGAGTATTACTTAAATTTCTTGAATACATTTTATTAAAAACAATATCTCTGATTTTACATGAAGATATGCAAACAACTTAAATTTTGGTACTTACTTCTCAGTGCAATGTCTGTTATAGTCTATTACATAAATCTAGTCAATTTATTGATCTATTAAAATGAATATATATACATACATACACATCTTTATGTGTAATATATGTATTATATTGTTTGTACTATTTATTATTTGCAAGTTTGAATGATTAAAAGTGCAAAATGTTATGTAATTATTTTCGATATTAATATCAAAAATTCGGTTATAATTAATATTATTACATCGCATTATTGTTTCATAAAATAGTATTTATTATTTATTAAGTAAAAATGTCAGTTATTATTTGTGCTTTAATGCAATTTGCATATTTTTAGATTATTTGGAAGATTTGTTTAGCTTATTTATAAAATTATTTGGAACTTGATTAAATTTGTAAATTTTATAATCATTTGAAGCTATAGCTGTGTTAAAAAAAATTATAGAACTCGGTATTCAAATATCTTGGAAATATGGAAAATTATGTTAATGCAGACAGAAGAAATAAGTTTCGATGAAATATTTATAGAATTTCACAGTCATAATATAGCCCAAAATATGTCTCATACATCTCAATATTACTATTCTTACTGTATCAGAAAATAATATGTATAAACATATGATAGTATTTAAGCTGCTTAAGTCATATTTGTAATGCAAAATCATTTCTTGTAAATAAAACTTAACTTACACAATTATATTAAAACTGGTCTGAGAAAGTTATATCGTTATTATTTAAACTTAATAGTAATAATTTGCTTAGTTTGACACTATTATTTCCTGATATCAATCAAGCATTTAGAATAAGATTCGACTACACGTTTTCCATGCTTATTATAAAATTACGATCACATATTACATATATATAATTTTCTTTTAAATAAAATAAAAAAATATGAATCAATTTTTCTATAATTGTTTTAACTAACATTATTATATAACATTTTTGAGTAATTCATTCTTATAGAAAACTTATTTACATCAGAACGTAAATTATTTAAATTTTACTTAATAAAATTTATTTAATAATGTAAACTAATAAATCAAGCCATGGAGATTAAGTTTATGATTTTGATTTATAATATTTTAAATTTTAAATTAGCTTTATATTCTGAATTTCATTTAATTTGCTGTTTAGATAAAAGTTAATTTATAGTTATTTAACAGTTAGATTTCATCTGAAAGTTAAATTCATTAATTTACAGTCAAACAAAATATTATAGTCATATCTGTTTCTAAACAAGTCACATTTCAGTTCTTGACGAAATACTGTGCTAAATAATTTGTTGGGCTATATCTTAAAATGAATTATAAAATTCTATTTGAAATAACATGCAGTTGCTTGATACAAATGTTAAATCAAGTGTTTAATTTTAATCAATTATTTTAGTATTTTCTGTATCTTACGTGAAATACTTTTGTATACCCGAATTATATAATTAAATATTTTGAGCAATATTTATTTTATTCTTGTCATTTATACACACATATTGCTATTGTTCTTAGCAGAGAGAAATTTGATTATCAAATTCTAGCATTTTCAGAATACGGCAGCTTTAGTTTCCTTTACATTAAATTGTTTATTTAGTCAATACGTGAAATCTGTTTTATATTTGCATTCTGAAATTTTAAATATTCTTTACATTTTGTCAAATTTATTGCGGAATGTCTTTCATATCAGAATAATATAAAAGATTTTCAGCTTTTGAAAGTGATAAATATTATTAAGAATGTTACAGATCTTCATTCATATGGTTTTTATTTTGTTTGTGTTTAAAATTAAGGGAAAAAAAAGCGTGAGTGTTAAAATTCTTTATATATCCACCTGATAAATGAAAATAAAAACGAAAATGAAAATGGATGACGGATTTCGGAATTAAATTACACTGAAAATAATAAACCAGCAAAAACATTTTGAATTTCTTCTTCTTCTGATCCGCACCAAGATGCACACTTTAAGAGAAAACAAAATTCGTTATTTATTGTAAATGAGTGATAAATATTTCTAGTGTTATTAAATTAAATTAAAGCAGAGAAAATCTAGTATATCTCAATAGATGATGTGTGTGTAATATATGTATGTCAAGAAAATATTATCAGGCATAACCCAACATTGTAACGTAACCAGAGTTCATGTTGTAATTAAAAAACCTTTAGAGCCACAGGAAAATTTTATCATTTAATTTCTATTAATAGTTTTTTTTTCCTAAATAGGTATTTAGATGCAGTATTATTTCTGTTAAGGGTTTCAACCCAAAAATATTTTCAGAGGATTTTAGGAAATATAAAAGTGAAACTAGCTCAGACCAATCTTACGTTATTGACCTAACCTCAAATGATAACGGCAGTTATCATCAACAGGGGAAAATTGATTGAAAAAGAAATTTAAGTAATAACATCCAAAATGTTATTTGTTATTTCTTAAGAGATTACAATATAATTAAGACACAATAACACGCCGAATAAATACTAATTCAGAAGTCAAACAACAAAATATTTTTTAATAAATATTTTAGGAGATTATAAAAATTCTGTTGTCATTCCCTTCTTTCCATCAATTAGCTATAAAGTTGCACATATTTTGCAGAAATTTAACTTTCGGGTTGTTTATTTCTCCCATCAATAAAATTCCAACTTCTATACTCAAGGACCCCATTCCGGATATGAATTCCTGGGTATTTATAGGATTCCTTGCCAGTGTGGTTTAATTTACATTGGCCAAACTAAGAGAGCCTTAAAATTTCGCGTCAAAGAACATGAGGCATATGTTAGAAAAAAGGAAACACAGAAGTCTTCTGTTGCTCAACATTGTTGGTCCGAAAATCACACTTTCAATTTTTCTGCTGCCAAAATTATTCAAAAAAACATCTTCCATTGGAGAACTGGATTTTCTAGAGGCATTTCACATTCATAAAAATCTTTCTGTTCTAGTTAACGATCCTAATTCCAATCCAAATTTGCCTTCGGCTTTTAGAGAAATTATGTTTTAGTTCTGGTTTCGCCAACAGATGGCGCCACTTGCTTATTCTTGTCCAGGCTTTCTTATCTTATCTAATCATTATTTTCTATCTTGTTCATTTGCGGTTTTGCAGCTGAAGATGATGGTTCGGTAAAACCATCGAAACTAGTCCTGTGAAAATTTTGTAGGTATAACGCTGATTTTTGTTGTTTGACTTCTGAATTAGATTACAATATAAATAAATTTGCGAGACACCACTAGGGCCTATTCGCTTATGGAAAAATACTGGCTTACCTGAAGCAGCTAACAACTGCAATCAAATTGCCTGAACAAACCTGGAAATTATTTAGTCGTAAATACAGATCTCCAGATTCAAATAAGTCTTTTCAACGACTCAGAGCCAAAAGCAATGAACGAAGGTAAATCTAGCAGAGACAAACAGTATTTGCAAATTTAACTTGTTGTTAGAAATTAGGCATCTGTAGGGCTTAATTTGTAAAATTAGAGGTGCCGGAGCGTTGTGCAAGATTATCAGGAAGGAAAGAAACAAATAAATGAAACAACTAAAAATTAAAATAATGAAATCAAAACTTAAATTATTAAATTATAAAAAGTTAAAGCGAAAAATATTGAAACTTGTCTTATTTGGGGCTCTGGCTGGAATGACAATGCCACTCAGAAGCTGGGAAGTAGCTTAACTGATGATCGAGTCTGAATTTAAGCCTTGGTTACATATGTATTGTACAATTTCAAGTTATGATAAGTACAAAAACCACTCCTTTTTCCAACACACCAATGAAATAAAAAAAATGCGTAATCAAGAATTATAAGAAAAATTCTAGAAAGAGTATGAAGATATGAAAGGAAATTTTAACGGAAAAGTGCAAGATTTTCTGATCGCGATGCTCTGTCGATATAACTCATACATTTCCTTGAATACGATCCTGTAATAACACCAGAATAAACGTTAAGTCTTCTCTATACAAGGGATAGCAGTGGTCCTCCGCCTTTGGTTCCATCATTCAAAAGTCTGCAGTAGGATGTCACAAGCGTGGTACGCGTATAACCAGGGTGATCACATTTACTACTTTCAAGAACGAAAAATTTACCCGCTTTCATAAATCTATTGCACTTCCTGGAAATAAGCCTTTGACAAGTGGTGGGGGACTTTTCTTTCCTTAAAAGCCTCGATCTTCATCCAAGAGTTTGTTTCCTTGGGAAAGACAGGCCTGCAGTAAGAAGGCCCTGCAGTAGTCGATTTTTAAGACTTTTTTATTATTAGAATAAAAAATTTTCCCCAATTTGTGGTTCACTTACATAAACGAAGTGTCGGATCTCTTTTATTTAGACCTCCGGTGCACTGTAGTCAGTATCATAATTTATCTCAAAAACTAAGTCGGACTTCGGCGCAATTTAAATCTTAGTGCTCTTTAAACATTATTCTTGCGCTTGTAAAATGTGCACTGAAGTCATGGTTTGGACGAAATAATGTAATAGAGAACGAAAGAAAAGAAGAGCTTAAGAATTTCAGGAACGAAAGACTTTCAGGAATGAAAGGAATTTCAGAATTTCAAGAACGAAAAATTTACCCACTTTCATAAATCCCTTGCACTTCCTGGAAATAAGGCTTTGACATGTGGGTGGGAGACTTTTCTTTCCTTAAAAGCCTCAATCCTCATCCAAGGGTTTGTTTCCTAGGGAAAGACAGGCCTGCTGTAAGAAGGCCCTGCAGTAGTCGATTTTTAAGACTTTTTTATTATTAAAATAAAAAATTTTCCCTCAATTTGTGGTTCACTTACACAAAAGAAGTGTCGGATCATTTTTATTTATGTCTCCGGTACGTTGCTGCTAGTATCATGATTTATCTGAAAAATTAAGTCGGACTCCAGCGCAATTTAAATTTTAGTGCTCTTTAAACATTATTCTTGCACTTCTAAAATGTGCACTGAAGTCTTGGTTTGGACGAAATAATGTAATAGAATACGAAAAAAATAGAAGAGCTTAATAATTAAAATTTTTAAATGTAAGGAAATTTAAACAACAGCCATATGTTTAGAATTATATCGAATAATAATTGCCTGTAACTGCATCCAAGAACTTTTCAATCCTATTTGCTCGGCTTAGGAAATTTCATTTATGCATTACGCTGCTGTTTACATTAATTCGAATATTCGTAGATGAAACTCTCTTTGTGTTTTGCATTATGTTGAAGAAATAAATGTCACAATTATTACTGATGATATTTTAAGAAATATTAAATTGCTTGTGCACTCAAAGTTAATTTATCAAATTTCATGATTTCTAAAATTTTTAAAATAAGATTAAATCTTTGCAAAGACAGGATGTAAAACCTTTCTTTCTGGAAATGCTAAAAGTTCTCAATTATTTGTTGATAATTGTGCTTTATATATAATAAAAGTAAAACATTTTGGAGATATTTTAGTTTCCCTATGTAACACTATGTTATTACGTTTGGTTTCATTACGTAGAGTTTGAACACCTATTCACTTTCTTCAAGCTGTCTGGCGCTTTTCTGTATCTACTGATATGATAGCCATTTTAGTTAGACTCGTTGTAATTAGTTTATTATTTAGAAGCTTTCGTAGTCATTTTGGTGTGAAAAGCAGTATGAACTCTGGTGCATAATTTGGTATCTTTAAATATTGCAAATTCTTAGATCGTCATATTTAGTATTACTTTTACCAAATGTTCACTTAATGATACCTTTACGTATAGAATAGCACAGCTCATTCCGTTACTATCATACTACTGCAGATTTGAATTATGAATTTCTGTGAAACTTGTGAATAATACACAAACAATATAATTATTCACAAGTAATAAAATAATAACAAATAAGTTCACATTTAAGAAAATATATTATCTTAGCTAAATGTGAAATTATTCAGGAAACCATTACATTCCGGATTCCATAAATTTTTCTAAAGAAATATTTCCGATATTTCTACAAATTTCAACAATATGTCATGATTAAACATAGCATAAGAAAATTTCATAGACTCCTTTTTTTTAGAATGCAAACTATTAAAACAGATAATTCCGTTACGTCTGTCTGTATGTCGCGTGAATATGTTTACAGCATGATATTTTTTATTAAAAAGGAAACTAAAATATTCATCCAGTTTCTTGAAACTCGCTGGATTAGTTAAGGAACTTTTCTTTTCAGATAAGTGTACTAGGCCGAACCAAATAAAAATCACTTTTATTATTTGAATTATTTATGTTGTTTCACTATTTTAATTATATAGAATTTTTTTATAATTTAAAGAAAATATATTAAAATAATTTTTCAAAAAATTACTTAAAAATTTATCTCTGTAATATTTTTTTCTTTCTCAAATTCTTTCTATCTAAAAATCCATTTTACTTGCTTCTGGTACGGCAGCAAACATACAGTTTAATAATTTTAAGCTGAAATTGAATCACATGTACGTTTTCATTTCTGCGAAGTAAAATGAGTAATGAAAGAAAAATTTTCTT